TTTCAAAACATAGAACTGGTGGGCAGGTTCATGAGAGTGAATGAAGTGAATGGTTGACACTAGCCACTCCTTAACAGCAGAATTTCTGCCAAGTATCCATTGATGAATAATAAATTGAACACTTGCATGTTTTAAACACCTCATATTTCACAAGGTTTAGAACTGTAGTCAATTAAACCATTTTCTGCTTATCTTTATCATCAGTTGTAGTACACCTAGCAGATTTATTTTACATTATACTGACAATGGTTTTGAACATGTTCAAAAAAAAAATTTTTTTTTTGAGACAGGGTTTCTCTGTGTAGTTTTGATGCCTGTCCTGGATCTCGCTCTGTAGACAGGCTGGCCTCGAACTCACAGAGATCCGACTGCCTCTGCCTCCCAAGTGCTGGGATTAAAGGCGTGCGCCACCACTGCCTGGCGCATCTTTCAATTTTTAATTCTTTAATTCAGTCCAAACAGTATTGATTTCTTAAAAATTAAGGCCACCTATCAGTAACACCTGACTGATTAAATGCCAAAGAAAATCATTCAAAATCATTTGATGTCGTTTCTAATGTCTTCCTCAGTCTTCAAGCAACTGTTAACCAGAGGTCTGGTGTTTCTCTGGACACTTTCATTTGAAACATTCCAACACGACTTAACTGATCATGGTAAATGACTTCCTTTGGCGAACAGAATGGCCATTTGCAAAGATTTTTTGGTTGCAGGTTATTTTCATGAAATTATGTTGTGATGAGTATTCTGGTGGAAGCTCTACCTCAGCCCCTGGCACCGAGGCATCCATATACCCAAAGAGTCTGGAATATTCTGGTGAAAGGTCCACCTCAACTCCCCTCCCCCATCTCTCTCCCTGAACCCATCCCCTCAAAGCCCACCAAACAAGGCTCCTGCCCCAGAGATGCTCAAGACCACTGCCATAGGGTATTTAAACTGCATCCCAGAAAACAGTTTTTTTGGTCTCTTGTCCCTATCTCCTCTCTGGGGTTGGCGGAGAATCACCTGGGAACACTTTATCCATTAAACCGGGGCTTTTTCTAATTTGGTCTGATTTGGATTGCTGCATCGGTGGAGAGGCCTATCGGGGTGCAAAAACTTTTCACTGAGATAATCCATCTTAAAGTTTTTAATTCTTCTATTGTTTTCTCCTAAGTGGGGGACACTGTCAAGAGTTTATCCTGGAAATGTCAACAAACTGCATTTGCCAAATTAGCATCCTAGCACTATAATGAAAATGCATGCCAGAAACCTGATAGAAACAGAGGTAGCACTCTCCCTGACTTCTGGCTACTTGGTGTCAACTCACGAGACAGACTTTCACAGAGTTCTGAGGTACCCTGCTGGAAAAAGATCACCTCAGGAAGCATTTACTAAGGTTCAGTTATCTGAGCTCTCACGAGGTCCTGAGAGTATGGGCAAAGTGGGTCTAGGAATTGCTTGACCTCGCCAACATGGAGAGATGGGCACTACTGCAGATCAGCAGCTAAGAGCGCTGGCTGCTCTTGCTGGGTCCCATGAACAGTCCCACAGGATGTCTTACACCTATCCATAACAACTCCAGTCCCAGGGGACCCCATACAGCCTCTTCTGGCTTCTACAGGCATCAAATCAAGCCCATAAGTGATGCATATACATACATGCAGATAAAACACATAAAATACAAAACAAGCAAATACTTTGCAACAGGATAATAGTTAAGATGCCTTGAGAGTAAGTGTATCAAGATTACACTTAAAGAAAAAAAAAAGTAAAGTCCTCTCCCCAAAGCTATGCTTTCATGAACCTGTTTTGATACAATGGGCAGGTACTAGGAAAATACAGTATGGTGTAGGATGGCAGTACATGTGGCACCACAAAAGCCCCCCATAAACAGCTTCTGCAGCAGCAACTCAACTTTCCTACCGTCAAGGGAAACAAACATAGCCATGAACAATCCATGAATGATTAATGTAGCTGAATTTCAATAAGCCTTTCACTTACAGGCTGGAGTGATGATGGCTCAGTGGTTAAAAGCACTGGTTGCTTTTCCAGAAGATTTGGGTTTTATTTCTGGCACAGTGTCTCATAACCACATGTAACCCCAGTTTCAGGGGATCCAATGACCTCTTCTGACCTCTCCCAGCACCAGGCATGCACCTGGTGCACATACATATATTCAGTTAAAACATTCATGCACATATAATAAAATAAACCAAAACCCTTCACTTATGGACACTGGAATTTGAATTTCATATACTTTCCAAGTTAGGACATGATCTGCTGGCCAACCATTTAAAACTAAAAACCCTTCCTTGTCTGTGGGATACAGAGGTATATAGCAGACTGGCTTATAGACCAGCTTAACCTTTCTTCTGTAAAGATACATTTGGATCAGCCAAATGTATCCAAAGCTAAGTTTTAGTAAGGTTTTAACAGTCCTGGACAGAAGTTGTTACTACTTTCAGGGAAAGACCTAAATTGATACAAATCAGGAAACGTAGCAGCCTCTACTTAAAACAGGCATACTAGCAATCCAGTTTTCTGAGAGGAAGATCAAAAAGAAACCAAATAGAACACTGCTTCATTTTGAGTTTTAAAGAATAATAGTTAGGTTGTACTAAATATTATTAGTTAGTAAGCCTTATAAAAGCCAGACAGAAGATCCCCTTCTATCCTTTCTGGAGGTTCAAGGGGATGGAAGCCAGGGTTTACTGCTCTTCCCGAACTCATGAACCTCCCACTATCTCCCAGATGCCAGGGTTGCTAAAATTCCTTCCTGGGGAGACACAGCATCAACCCCTCCTCCTAGGGTCCAAAGGACAAAGCAAGGCATGACTTCTGCCTACGTTCATTCTGAGGAAACAATGAATTTATAGTTTCCTTACAGAGCACAGGTGAGCATTACTTATAGGGGGAAGGGTACTCTTCCATGCAGCTGTTGTAACTAGATAGCCTTTACCAAGCAGGGATGAGGGCCTCCCCTTAGCTCCCTTAAGTGCCCCCTAATCTTCCAGGTCCACGTTCTCTAGCTTCTCCTTGAACATGCACAATTAACTGTGTACAACAGTACAGAGTGGTAGGATACTCAGGTGAGGGTATTGTGACACTCTCCACCCTTCCAAGATGGGGTATAATCAAAAAGCCCAGTTGGGAAAATCCTTTTGCAAGGAGGTGCAGCTAAACTCCCCAAGATAATGGATACCTGACTCAGAGGGTAGTCACTCAAAACAGAAGGGTCACAGATGTGAATTAGGACACCAGAAATTCTTACTCGCTTCAGTACTTATAAAGGGCAAGAAAGAGACAAAGCAGTCGATGCAAAGGTTTCAAAATGCCTTGCTTTACAGAACAAATCCCATGCTGGAGAATTAGCAGATGGACCAGTTTACCTTCCTGGAACTTGGAACATTAATAAAAACCAAACCCAAACACCTACAGCTAGAGAAGCATGGCCACGAAGTTCTATCACCTAAGAAAACGGCTCAAGAATTAAACACTCCTACATAAGTGCTTCAAAAACAAAATCACCAGTCACCAATACGTAAGAAAACATTTCTGAAGCCTTTATTTACAAAAGCTTTAAAAACAAATAATACCCTTTGTTTGCAAATAATGTTTAGTTTAAAAAGGACCACCCAGTTTCAGCATTTTAGTATCATGAATATCGAATGTACAAGGGAAATGAACTATGTTGCTAACATTTGGAGACTTGCTGATATTACTGACTGAAGTGTAGCTAACACACATTACAACTTGTAGTCCATCACTTCAGGGTAGAGTTAATGATCACCAAAATCTTCCAACACATGCTCTGGTCTGGTCACATATTCTGCATGGCTAAATATTTCACAGTCTCTTGTCAATATATATAAAATAGATTGCAAAGATATACACAAAAAATAAACAAGCATTACACTCCTCAGGTAATTTATTAGCTATATATATGTGTGTGTATTTATA